TTTAGATACTGATATTTAAAATTTTAGAAGATGGCTGCAATGTAAGGACTGAGTGTAAATTTAAAATTTGTTTTTGTGGCACTATTATAAGTTAGTGAAAAATGAAATTTGGATACTAGAAGCACTATTATGACTTATAGCATTTAAGAATAGGGTGTTTATTATTTTGTTATATAATTTAATATTGTTAGAGATGTTTGAGATTAGAGTGATGAAATTTATTGATGGCATCAGAAGTCCTACTATGATTGAAATTGAAATTGTTTAAGATTAGTTATTTGTTTAAGATTAGTTATATAAATTAATTTTTTGTTGGAAATTATGTTGGGGAATAATGTGGTAGTAATTCAGAAGTAATCATGATTTAATAATACAGATGAATGAAATTAATGGGGATATTTTAGAGAGTAGCTTTATGTAGGCTTTTGTAAGAGTATAATTTTGTGGTAGTCTTTGGTTGTCTTATCATTAATTAATTGAAAATGAAATTTAAGGTATGTTTGGGATTAGAGTGATTAAATTTATGGATGGCATCAGAAGTACTATTGTGATTGAAATGGTTTAAGTTTAGAGGGGATGTTATTGTGTTATATAAATTAAATTTGTGTTGGAAATTATATTTGGGAATAATGTGGAAGTATGACGGAGTGAGCTCCCATCTCTAGTTCCAGCTCCTGCCAACCTAGCAGTTCGAAAGCAAGAAATTGCAAGTAGATAAATAGGTACCACTTCGGTGGGAAGGTAACAGCGTTCCGTGCGCCTTGGTGTTTAGTCATGCCGGCCACATGACCACGGAAACGTCTTCGGACAGCGCTGGCTCTTCGGCTTTGAAACGGAGATGAGCACTGCAACCCTAGAGTCGGATTCGACTGGCTTTTGAGCAAGGGAACCTTTACCTTTACTTAATTCCGAAGTAATCATGAATTAATAATACAGGTGAATGAAATTAATGGGGATTTTTTTAAAGAGAGTAGCTTTATGTAGGTTTTTGTAAGAATATAATTTTGTGGTAGTCTTTGGTTGCCTTATTATAAATTAATTGAAAACGAAATTTATTGTTGACATTAGAAGCATTAAGATGATTTAAAGTGATTAAGATTAGTATTTTTGCTATTTCGTTATAAATGTAATGGTATTTATGTTAGAAACTAGAGTGGTAGTAAACAGGAATTATCAAAGTAAAAGGCAGGACTTGACAGGTGATTTAAATAGAAAGTAGAGGATAGATTTATTAAATAATTTATTTTGTAAAGTGGAGTTATAGCAGAAAGTAGATACCTTAGGTGAAAAGTATTGTGATTAGAACTACTAGTGAGGATCCTGGGTGACGCATTGGAAATTTCTGTTATGAATTTATAAATTATTTAGGTACAAGCAAATTGTATGATCTATGTGATGTGTGAAGAAACTAATCGCAGTGTGGATTTATGTTTGTTGTTGTCTTAGATGTTGATGTGTGTTTAAGCATAAAAAAAAATCAATAAATATATTATAAAAAACAGAAAGAAGGAGACAGTTGGCACTGCTGCCCCATGTGCTAGGGAGGCAGGCATGCAGGCTGGCAGATGGGCAGGGGGAAAGAGAAAGGGAGAGCTGGAGTCACCCCCCTGCTGCTCCTTGCCAGAGGTTTGCTGTTGGCAGCAGCTCTGCAAGATTTGCAGGCTGGACAGCAAGTGCAATAAATACAAATTCAATAAATAAATGCAATAAATACAACTGTGTATAATAAATGCAAATGCAATAAACAAACAAATAAGTGTGTAACCCAGTGAAAGTGGGAGGGGGGCAAAAATGATAGGACTCACCCCAAGGCTCACAGATCCTTGCTTGTACATTGCTATTTTTATCACAGTAAAGTCTTGTTTTGTACTCAAATTGTTGGTTTTTACGTGATTCTTTTAAAAACTGGTTTGTAAGCCATGTCAAATGTTTACAGTGGAACAAAAATCTTTTAAAGAAACAAACAATGTATCATGTAAACAAAAATATGACAGCATTTAACATTTTAAAAAATCACATTAGGGTTTTTCCAGTCAATCAACAGGGCGATAATGTATGCCTGGTGAAGCACAAGAAAGTCGGGGTGCAACTGTAAATCAGCCTTCCAGCATGGCCACCCATTGCTTCAGAAACCTGCCTTCCATGGGACATGCCAGCCCAATCCTTTGCACCTTTACTTGGAAATAAACGCCTCTGAGTTGAATGCAATCTATTCCCAGGTAAGTGTACATAGAATGGCAGCCTTAAATCGAGATTACACTTAGCTGGATTGGGACCCAACTCTCTAAATAGCTCTCCCTAAACAAACAAAATAACAAATAGAGCCTGACTCCATAATCTCCACACCACATCTCTGCATTCCCCCCATTTAATTCAAAAAGCAGGTACTGTGTTCTACATTTCTACATTTCGTCATGCATTCTTCCTTTGACAGTGAAATGCTTCCAGGCAGGCAGTAGCTCGTTTCTCTTGGAAATCACAAAGTCTGAGTTAACTTTAGGTACCTCTTGCATCATTTCCTAGAGGAAGCATTTCAAAGCATTGTTTGGAGTGCATGCAGGCCCTTAAAATACTGCCCTAAAAATGCCTGATTGGGGGGTGGGGGGTGGGGGATGCCTGCTCTGCAGTGTAGCAGCGTATGCTAGGCCCAGTTATTCTTGAGTAAGCAACAAAGAAATAAACCCGTATATTTACTTCATTGGCACCCAGTTTTTCCTCTCAATAGGGACCCGTTGTTCCCCTCTCCTCCATTTTATCCGCTTCGTTCATTTCAATCATTTTAATTCCAGCTTTAGTATTTTCCTGCAACCCAGAATTGCAGCAGGTTGGGGGGGAGAGCAACCCTGCAGAAACAGCAAAGAGGGGTTTCTTAATTCCAAGCCGGTGGTTGGGTGAATAATTCAGAGGTTGTACCCCTTACACCTCCACAAAAGGGTAGTGATCTACTTTTTTCATTTATATAAAAAAAAAGGAAGCTAGGAGTTTAGAGAAGCTAGTGGATCATGGCAAGAGACTGTTATAATATTATTGCACTATAGCCATTAAAACCTCCAAAAAGCCCTTTGGTGGTGATGGTGGGGTGGGGTAGGGTGGTGGCCACTGAGGCGGAGGCGGAAAAATTGGGGGGGGGGAAACGATCATGTGGACAGTTCATTGTTGCTGTGAGTGCCTGGCAGCAGCAATGAAAGTTATACAGAGAATTGTCACCACATGGGGTCCACCATGGTGATTCTTAATATGGACATACCATCCCCCCAGGGGCAAGCTACGAATTTGGGGAGGGGTGATTCTGACATTTTGTATGGAAACTTGGGGGCATTTAGCATTTTCGGCAGCCCCTTCTTTGCACTTACCTACAGGATAACAGCCCATATTCTAAATGTTTCCCTCAGGTCCTTAGAGTGCTCTGTGTGTGTGTAAAGTATAATCAATTTGCAGCAGACTTATGGCAATCCTGTGGGGTTTTCAAGGCAACAGACTTCAGCGGTGGTTTGCCATTGTCTTTGTATCGTGACCATGGGCTTCCTTGGTGGTCTCCCATCAAAGTATTAACCAGGGCGGACCCCGCTTAGCTTCTGAGATATGACAAAAATCAAGGTAGCCTAAACTATCCAAGTCAAGAGCCCGTACGCGGGGAGGGCGGGGTATAAATGGAATTAAATAAATAAATAAATAAAATAATTGCTAGCACATAGGAATCAAACATACATTAAGGAGATGGCTATCAGGCACAGAGGTTCATTGGATATAAGCAGGGGTCATTTTGTAGAAAAAGAGGTGTAGGAGCTCATTAGCATAACTTATTAGCATAACTTATTTGCATATGCCACACCCCCTGACATAATCGGAAGTGTGTCAGAAGATAACACCCACCGCTCAGGCTCCACTGGACTGTTTTGGATTGCTAGCTATTGGGGGGGGGGGAACGTGCAGATCTGCCCTCACAGAGGAGGGAGAGCTTATACCTGAAGGCGGGTGGGGCTCTGCAACTTACCTGGCTGCCTCTTGCTCCTCGTGGCCGACTGAGGGCTGCTGGGAGCAGGGGGAGGTGCTTGTTGCATGTGCCCGCCCCCTGGGCTCCTTACTGCCGGAGCTCCGCTCCTGTGCGCTCCCGCAGGAAATGACCCCTGGATATAAGACTGAATTTTGTGTGTAACATGCATGCGTGGCAGGATTTTCAAAACAATAGACATTCAGAGGTGATTTTCCATTGCCTCCATCTGCATTGTGATCCTGGACTTGCTTGGTGGTTTTTCCTCCCATCCAAGCATTAACCAGGATCAATCTTGTTTAGCATCCAAGATCTGACCTGACCTACCCTGCACTTCACAGGTCAGGACATACCCTTGCACTGAAATAACATTTCCTTGCTGGAGTGCTATTTTCATGTCCTATTTTTTTTACTTGGTGCATTCCACGACAGAGAATGTAGAGCCCTTGGGCATCAAAAGTGAAGAAACCAAGGAGTGGAAGCAAAGAGTTAACCACATAAGAGGAGAATGTGCCCCGGCCAGTATCCATAAACTGACATGCATTGCAAAAAAGGAATAACTTGCACTGGCTACTTTTTTTAATCTCTCTAAAGCAAACCATATGATTGCGGGGTGGGGGTGCTTGGCTGTGTGGTTCCTTCTAGTAGCCCAGGCTTCTAAGCTCATGCCTAACGGGATTTCTACCTCCTTGCCTTTACATGATCTTCTGGGTCCTGGCTGAAGAGACAGTATAAGCTAAGAGAAGAAGCCAAACATTCTTTCTTGGGCTTTGTTGGCTTTGATACAGAAATGCAGGGGGGAGGGGAGAGTAAAAGAGAGAGCGAGCGAGAGAGAGAGACTCTAGGATGCCAGATGCTTCCATTGACGACAAACCTCAGGCCCGCCCCGTGACTTTTCCTCAACCAATGCGGTGGCCAGATTGGGTCGAGCCTCCTTCAAGCCTTCCCCTGCGTTTACTGTGATAACCTCCCTGGCAGTCATGTGATGGGGATATAGTACTATGTTAGGAGAGCTAAAGGACACATCACCAGCCCAGTTGCTGGTTGCCAAGCGGGACCCCGTTTGCCTCGAGGCGACCCTCAAGGACAACCGTTGCCATCGTTTACCTGGGAAGACATTGGGGCTTTTAACATGTCCTTGATTATTATTATTATTTTTTAAATTTAAATGTCAAGAGAAGCCGCTGTTTACTGGGATCGCTTTGCAAATTACATTTTTTGAGGGTGCTTTCCCCCACCCCCACCGCGGGTATTGACAGAAAAGTTCAGGTAAGAAGCAAAGGACTCGAATGGCTGACCCCCCGGTAGTGGCGGGAGGGAACCTCGGAGGGTGAGAGAGTGCGGCTCTTGCAAAGGAATCCGACGACATGTGTCTTTCTGAGTGAGTGTGTGTGTGCCCAGAAACGCCAAGCAGGGACGAGGTCCGCTGCTTGCGGAACTCCCGGATCGCTCGAGGGGAGCGCTGAAAGGAGATCCGCGGCTTTTTTGGCCGCGCGATTCCTGGATGTAGAATTCTAGCAGGACAGGTTCGATCAAAGCGATGGAGGCAGGACGGCGTAGGTGCTTGTGAAGGTGTTTACAATGCACGTGTGTGGGGGCGCGCGTGCTTGTGCGGGGGAGGAGGGGGGGAGGAATCCTTTTACCGACCCTTCTTGAAGGGCAGGAGTCGTGCCGTGCCCGCCTTTAAGATCCCGATGCCTTCCGATCGCCTGTTTTCGAATGGAAGAAACGGGCGTCGGACGGAGGCTGGGGATGTTGTTTACCCGCCACCATATGGGACGGCCCCGGTGCGAGCGCAAGGCTGCTCCTCGGCGCCTCGGCCCGCAGCCTGCCGACGATCACATTATTTCGAGTGACCAGTAAACACGCGGGTCTTCTTCCCCACTTCCTAGTTCAGCAACCCACGGTGGGATCTCTGTGTCTGGAAGAGGACGCGAAGGCTATGCTGCCCTCCGCCCCCGCAGGCGGAGGAAAGGGAAAGAGGATCCCCTTCCCCTTCATGAAAAGCAGTCTCGATTCCCCCCAGCCCGTTAGAAAGCGAGAGTGGTTCCGCCCCCCCCCCCCCCCTTCTCCCGGCGGTCGTTCTCCGGTGGCGCTGAAGCACAACCACATGGCTTCGGAATGGGCACTGCAGATGGCCACTGGGTTTACCGCTTGTCGTAAAACCGCCGGCCCGGTTTTCTCGCATGCCCGCGGAACAGCGGGAGAGGGGCCGAAACGTGCCTGTGCCCGGAGAGATTGGTCGGGCAGTTCGTTGCTGTCTTAAAAGTCCCGGGGAATAGAGCGAAATAGGCATAGGGTGTTTTTCCAAGGAATGCGGGTTCATTTTCAGAATGACGCAGTTTCTGGGCTGTTTTTCAACGGCATGGGTGTTCTGCAGAGGAGAAAGGGCCCCTTCATTGCGTGAGAGAAATTAATGTGTAACTCCAAGGAGTGCACAATCCGACACCAACAGGGACTGGTCCGATGAAATGTTACGTTCTCTCACTGGGGAGTTAAGCACAGAACGGGAGAGCTGGAAATGGGCCCGTATCATGGGTTCCAATTCCTGCCCTGGGACTGGATATTCCGCAGGGATTGAGTTCTCCCCCCCCTCCCCCAAAAAAACCACTTTAGAGAAAAGAGATTCCATCGCATTTCTAGGAAGGTGTCAGGGGTGAGAAACTTGCTTGCGCCACCAGGTGTGCAGTGACTTCGAAGCACGTGGTGAAATACCCTGTGTCCATTTTCGCATATGATCGAGGAACAGAGGTGTTTACTCCTCCTCTTACCCTGTACAGGGAAAATGCCACAGGTGAAGCCCTCCCTTGTACTATTTCTGAAACTGCAGCTGTCAGAATTAGGAACCCCCCCCCAAAAAAAAAACCATGGGCGCATTCAGTCTACTGCTCCTTGCCAGGATGGTGAACAGCTGTATTCCTCCTCTCCAGTCCTCAGTGGAGGGATTAGAGAAATACGCTTTCAGAAAGGAAGGAGGTGCCGCAGCAACAGAGCCAGGCTGTGTTTCCAGTTTTCCCTGAACAACTTTGGCTTGGGCTGTTCTGGAAGGTGGTGGTGGGAAAGCCAACTGAGAGACCCAACAGGAGGAGGCAGCTGTGTGCTTCACTGTGTGTGGGGGGGGGGGGGGGGGAGGGAAGGAATCTCCAGAAAGAAAGAAAGAATCTCCACTCTGCCAGGAAGCATGTTGGGTGACCTTGGTTTAGTTATTCTCTGCCTAACCTACCTCACAGGGTTGTTGTGAAGATAAAATTGAAGAGGGGAGAAAAATATACACTGCCTCAAGCACCTTAGAGGAAGGCTGGGATACCCCCCCATAATAAATAAAGAAAGGCAGAAAGAAAAAGAAAGAAAGAAAAGAGAGAGGTGCTTGTAGGGTTACTATCGGTCATTTCAGACCTCAGAGGCCCGGGAGGGTGTAGAGAAGGCAGAGCAACCTTAGTCAGAGAGGCAATTCTCTGCTTCTCTCTTATGCCCAGCCTGGTGAAGCTGAGCTGGCGCTACACACACTTGGCTATTGAGAGGAAGCAAAACAAACCCTGTGTGAAACCGCTGCCTGCTTCTTGCGGGGATATGAAATGTATCCCCTCCGTCTCCGCTCCCCCTCCCCTCCGCTCCCCTCCCTGCCCAGTGCCATGAATCCCACAGCTTTTATCCATTCACACCGTGATAGATTAGCATGGACAGGCTTGGGGCTGCATGTGTGTGACCAGCATGAATGTCGAGCGGAATGTACACAATTGAGAGCTGCGGATTAAAAGTCTTTTGGCCTGCCTTGCTGTAAACAAAGTCTCTCCTCCTTCAGAAACCAAGGAGCAGAGTCTTTAAAGAGCAGTTGGCTTTGTGCATGTAAAAAAAAAAGACTTCTCATCCCTCTTGTCCATTCCTGCAGGATTTTCAGACAAATCTCAGAACAAGGGAAACATTTTTCACTGGACCGCATTGTGGAATTTTCCCCTAATCACCTCCCTTTCATTTATTGTCAGGGATCTCCCCTTTATTGCAAGCTTACAAATAATCAGAATCACGGGTAGAGGCTATGTCTCCTAGATCTGCAGATGGCAAGAAGGAGTCTCACGGGACATTGGAGACAGTGGAGGTGAGGTAGGGAGAAAGGCATGCAGGGAGAAAGGGGCAAAGACTTTAAGGTCATGTGGTAGAAAGGTTTTTTTTGCCCCCTCCACAAATCTGTGGCCGACATTCTTCTAAATATGGCCATTTAAATATTCTCGCCACCATGAGATCTAGAAACTTGTCTGGTATCTCAGCATGAAAGCGAGCATTTGTGAGGATTTGCAAAGGCTGGCCTTTGGACTGTGTATGCAGCCAGCAACACACCCATAATTAGTACACATAAAGGTAGCCCTGTGCACAGACAATCTTAAATGCTTAACTTGGCACAACAGTGAATCCCCCCTCCCCCCCCCTTTTTGCAGCATTTAACCACCACCAAGCATGATTTTAAATCAGCCTGACAGCAGATGACAATAAAGGATGACTATGTTGTTAAGGTGCAGTTTATGATAATGATTTAGTTCCCTCTGCACCAGCTCAGCACGCACAATGGCGCATAGGAAAGCACCTGAAGATGCTGTATATTGAGTCAGACCCCTGGTCGATCACCATCAGTATTGTCTGCTCTGACTGGCAGCAGCTCTCCAGGGTCTCAAGTGGAGGTCTTTTACATCACCTACTGCCAGATTCTTTTCACTGGAGATGCGGGGGATTGAACTTGTGACCTTCAGCATGCAAAGCATGCACTCGTATCACTGGGCTGCTGCCAGCAGTTTTGCATTCTGTACTGTCATCTTGAAGCTCTTCCTTGCAGGCAGAACTTTAAAATCTTCCAATCAGAGTTGGATCCACCAGGGCATTTCATATGGAAGGATTTCCATCAATGGAGGGCAGCTTTCTCACCCCCCCTTCTCCCGGTGCAGCCCCATATGCTCCCCCCATCTACTGTTCCTGGGGAGCAGCATTCTAGTAGGCATCTGGGGCTGCAGCTGGAGGAGGGAGGTGAGAAAGTCACACTCTGCAAGTAGAGCTCCTTCTGTTGGTGGAAACCTTCCAGTGGGCCCAAGTCCTTGTAATTCCCACTAGCAAAGTGCTTGTCATGATGACAGGGAGAATGGATATGGAGACAAGGCCTGTGTGTTGCAAGGATCTCTGGGAAGTGCAACGGGGAAGGACCATGTTACTCACAGAAACACCTGTAAGGGCAGGTTTTGCTCTTGTTGCAATGGTGTCCCCAAACACAGCGCTTCCGTAAGAAAACTCATGGTGGGAGGGGAAAGTAAGCACTGGTGTACTCAGGCTATCCCAGGCATGGGGATGTATGTGGTCTCTGCTTGTGGTGAACCTGTCTTTTGAAAATTACCCCTATGCCTGATCCCATAGCTTGACCTCATTATCTGCATAGCCGCCTCCTGTTTCTTGGTCACACTAGAGTGTGACGGAATTTTTCCAGAAGAGGAACTGAGGCTGTAACATGTCTCGTTCAGTGGCTGAAGACATGGATGTGCGGGGATTTTAGCCTTGGATTCCCCAAGCCAAACTCATCATTCTGCATGCTAGATCCCACTGGCTCTTCATTACATGATTTCCCAGCTTGAAAACAATAGCAGTTGTAGGATGAGTGCGTCGGAGTTTCTTGGAATTTCTGGGCCGCAGCATTCCATTGAAATTATGCAAGGGTTTTTAGAGGATGCATCGATTATGTCCCAATCCAACTTGCGCCTAATGTAAACAAGTATCAACATATTATGTTTGTGCAATCTAGGTAGTAAGGAGAACACAGATTTTATGGGACTGGTTGGTATCGAGGGCTGTTGATAAGCCTCGAGAATCGGTATTCGTAGCTGTCTGCGAAGCAACAAGGAGTGAAACAGACGGGTAGTGTTAGCACCAACATGGTGTTCCCTTTTAGCGCTCAAAATGTTCCCCAGAGTGATAAGCAGCTCAATAATTTTCATTCGCTGTCTTCATGCTGCTCTGAACGCTAGCTGGGAAAATACAGTGTTCTTACTGGCCTGTTTACTGCCTTTTTGCCGGTGACCTAAGTAGGCAACTATTGAGATGAACAAGGGAGCTCTGAACATCAGCAGCACTGTGGTAGTCAGTTGAGACTTGGGGTAGTGTTGTGCTCTGGGAAACCATTAAATGTACTTCACCCCAGTGTTGGCTGCTTTTCAGCTGCAGATGAAAGGAACGTATTCATTGATTAAATGTTGAGAACAGCCATCAATCAGTGAAAATTCTGGTGGTTTTTTTTT